CAAAACCTATGGTTTTAAAATTATGAAAAATTTCAAGATGGAAGCAACCCAGCATTAGCATGAAATCAAATATGGGACCCTTCCCAGCCCAGGGACCTCTGTGACCACACAAACCCATTACACTGGACCAGGGATTAAGAAAGCTCTTGGAAATGAAATATACGATAGTATAAATAAGAAAAATGAGAGTTGGAAGATAAAATAAGGAAGTTGCCCAAGAAATTGAACAAAAAGATGGAAGAATATTCAAGGAAAGTAGAAGATAGAATAGAGATTCAAAATATAAATTTGGAGTCTCAGAGTATAGAAAAAATAGAGGGAAGAAAATAATTCTAGAAATAATATAAGACAAGTTTCCAAACTGAAGGATATGAGTTTATAAATTGAAAGGGCCAAGGTAAGACACTTACTATGAAATGTTGTATTTTCATGAATAAAGATAATTTTCCAGAAGCTTTCAAAGAGGGATAGAAACCAAATAATCCAATCACATATAAAGGATTGGCAATCAGAATGGGAGCAAAACCATAATGTTCACTTAACCAGAAATTGTGATATAACTAGTATTTTGAAAGGCTGTGGAGAAGGGAAGGGAGTAAAAAGGCTGAATCATCATCTACCATAGTAAGAAGTCAGTGGACTGTCCATCTCACTGAAATTTCAGGAAAGAGCAAGAAAAGCATTCAATTTAGAGATTTGGGGGGTAAAATGAACATGTGGAAAAAAAGAAAACCTGTCTCAACTAAGAGGCAGAGGTCTCTTGAGTGCCAGAATTGTATTGGGGAAATAAAGCTACTGTTTTTCAATGTGAATCATGTAGAGCTGGTGCCCTTATAACTACAAGTGTTAATAATTTAACAATTAAAACGGAATTAAAAAGTAGATAAAGATTCACTGCGTTTTGCGTGGGACTTTAACAGATGTGACACTAATGATTCTGCTCTCCCCAGATTCCCGATACATTCTCCTGCCTGTCGTGTTACATCACCTCCACATTCACTTGCAAGAACAGAAGGACTTGATCATGTGTGCGCGTATCCTTAGCAACGTATTTTGCCTCATCAAGAAAAACAGCTCAGTAAGTAAATACAGGTCATAGTATGTAGTTCCCATCAAAGAGCCTCTGGAAATAAAATTTTAAATATCTTCAAAGAAACCGTGCTACAGAGGAACCCTCTGAGACTCACTTTCATTTGCAGCTGGACTGGGTTGTTGTTGGTTTTTGTTGTTGTTGTTGTTGTTGTTGTTGTTGTTGTTTGGTTTTTCTCGGAAGGAATTTTTTTTACCCTTGTGGGATTGCTGTAACCCCAGCTAACCTGGGTTCTTAAACTTGGGTTTCAAGAAAGAACTGAATACCAAGTGAGAAAAATTAGAAAGTTCAAAGCCTCCCACATGTGTCTTTAATCTTGATGTGATGAACACTCTGTGGCAAGAATAAATTACTACTTGCAAAGGAGTTCTTGGGGTCCATTCTGTGAAAGGCCACATCGTGATGCTCAGGGCTTGGCTTTGGCTCTTAGGTCTGGTCCCATGGAAATTGTGGAAGCAAAGGACAACCCCAGGGGACTAGGGGTAACTTGCAATTCTTTGCCCCCAACAATAGTCATCTAAATTGTTATGCCTTTGGGGATTCTTGTCACGGTGCTTGACTCTTGACACAGTGCATTGGGTTAAAGAATGTGGTACAAAATAAGAAAAACAGCATGCTTGCTTATAAATCAGACAAACCCAGAGTATTTCTGTTAATGGCTCAGGGATCTGGTGTGAAATGCACATAGGAAGGATGTCCTGTTCCAGTTCTGTCACTCTGCAACTGTTAATTAAGCATTGTTCTCATTGGTAACAGGTTGTACAAAGCAGAATTTTGGCAGCCAGTGCTGAGATGCCTGTTTCTCTGCCTGCCTATTACCTCTATGCTACAGTTTTCCCATTTTTGTCACTGTTATGATCAGCTCTGAAGAACTGGGATGGGTCCCTAGGGGAGCAGTGGAGCGAGGGCCCCAGTCATGTAGGAACAGAGTTGGTATTTGAGAGTAAAAGGCTAGAAACTCTGCATGTAAAACTGTGAGAAGAGGGCCATGCATGGAAAGGAACAGTTCACTTTCACCCACCTCAGTGATCCAGGCCCCAGAGGTGATTGGAAACTGGGTAGAACAGTGGCAACAAGGAAAAGCCATACATTCTGATTTAAAACTCCCTCTGGGGCTGGGATATAGCTTAGTTGGTAGAGTGCTTGCCTTGCATGTACAAGGCCCTGGGTTCAATCCCCAGCACCACCCAAAAAAGAAGAAAAAAATTCCTTCTGTACAATACATAGTTGGAATGTTTTTCCAAATTATAATTGCTGCAGTTAAAAAGTAAGCCAGATTTTTCACTACACAAAACCAAAAATAAATGTCAGCAGTAGTGGAGGTTATTTCTCCTTCTTTATTTCGACTTGGAAGTTGAAGTCAGGTTTTGGACCTAGTTGATAAGGATTTCAGAGCAGAAACCTACTCACTGGAGGGAAACCTTGGTAGTTTTATTGCAGGTGTAGGAAAGTTCATCATAAAAATCATAGCCAAAAGGCTCTTAGAACTCACACTTCCTAATAGTATTCTTTACAGAGTGAGCTCCTTGGTAAGGAGCCCTTGTACACAGAGTTCTGTCTTGTGCAAGTATAATAAGAGCCTAAATCCGCTATGTACAGTCAGTGCAGAGCAATTTGAATTTGTCTCTCAAATCCTGGGGCTTGGGTAGTATTAACTGTGCTTCAGGAAAGCAGTTCTTGCCACAGCTGACCCTAGCTCCATAGTAGCTAAGGATGTTTGTCTAGACTGATCACCGTTTCCTAATATTTACATGTAGGATTTTTAAAAATCATGTTTTATAGGAATAGTCATTTGCATATCAACCAGAGTTTTGGAGAATTACCTGTATGGCTCCAGTGCTGAGAAGAGTAAATGTAAGCACAATTGGGAATCACGGAATTATAGACTCTAAGAACCAGAGGGGACTTTCAGTGAGGAAGCAGGCCCAGAGAGGCAGACTGATTTGCTTGAGGTACATGCCTGTTAGGGCATAGCTGACAGTCTCAATTAGCCTATTGTGCTTCCTATGGCCTCACCCCAACTTTTCATTCATATTTCAGGTATCCATTGCATGGCCAGGTGGTGTACCCTTGAGTAAGCTGTAACTTCTCTGGGCCTTGGTTTTCTGTAAGGTCATTCACTTATGTGAGGTCCAGATCTCTCATGCTTTTGAGTTCTCTGAGTCTTCAATTCTGTATTTGGACATAGACCTTTTTCCCCTTTGCAATTAAAGAGAGAATAATATACCTATTAAGCCACAATTTCCTGAAGATTTTTTTCTCCTTAGGAAAAATCTGTGTTGGAGGAAATAGATGTGATAGTGGCCAGCCTGCTGGACATCCTGCTGAGGACCATCCTGGAGATCACCAGCCGACCCCAGCCATCCGGCTCCACAATGCGGCTCCAGTTCCAGGATGTGACTGTAAGATTAAAGCAAATGGCACTTGGAACAGGGCCTAATTTGACTTCTTAAAGCTTCAGTCATTTTGAGGGTGGGTTGCTATAAGAATCCAGAAAATCCAACCTTGCAAGAGTATGTGTGAGCATTTCAAATGTATGTGAGTTCTCCTTCATTTAATAAGAAAACTGTCGTATGAATCTTGTGGTTAAAAGATCTTACAACAAGCAGTTTCTAATTTCAGAAAGTCAACTTTGATATTAGTTTTCATTTTTCCCAATTTAATCTACAGTTTTATATCCCCAGTTAACTTGGTAACTTTTCATTCTCTTTTCATCTATCAGATTACCTGAGGAACCCAAAATAGTGAAATAAGGCCATGAAAGTCAGGGTCCCTGGAGTCAAATTCTGGATTTTTCACTGTGTCTAGCCAGGGTCTTTACTCTGCTAGACTTCAGTTCCTCTCAGCTATGGTATGATAAGATATGACTTGGTAAATTCTAAAGGGCCTTCAAGCTCCACTATCTTATGAGTCTAATGTAAATAATGCAATTCATATAAACTATTAAGAAATAATATAACTGACAGTTTATATACACATACACACACACACACACACACCAGTGCACACACATATACATATATTTAAATGTGTGTATACACATACTTTTTTTCTCTTTCAGCAGTGCTAGGAGCCTTATGCATACCAGGCAAGCTCTGTACCACTAAGCTATCCTTAGCCCTTGCACACACATATTTCTATTCAACTACTAAAAACTATCTTTAGTCTTTATTAAGAATATTCTCAGACATTCAGCCAGCCTTTCCAGGCAACACACCTTCTACCCTGGCCCAGTTTGTGTGTAACCTCGCGGAAATGGCCCCAGAGCTGGTGAATGCTGCTGTGGCTTACTCAAAGCCGCAACTGGCCATATTTTGGCATCATTCCAAGGTTGAGCTTGTTCCTCCAACCCCTGATGAGATCCCTACAGCTATTCAGAGCCTGAAAAGAATAGTCAAGAGTGCTCAAACTGGTAGCTTCAAACAGCTCACAGTTAAGGTAGCTGTGCTTAATGGTTTGGTGGCCACTGAAGTGTGAATGCTATTTTATATAAGAGAGATCATAGGCAAGCGTGGCATAGTTGGCTACAACATTTGAAGACCAATCTTTAACATCTGATTATATTTGATTTTTTGTTTGAGTTTTCTTGGACCATATATGATCAGATTGCTATCTGAATAAAATAAGATGTGTCAGGGGGGAAAAAAAGAATATTCTCTCAAGCAAATGGTATCATTTGCAGAAATGGCATTAGATGCTGTAGTTTTCATGTATAAATTATTTACAACAGTGTCAACCTTTTCCATCAGTTTTACCTATAATGTGCTGTGGAACTGCTGTCTTAAAAATGTTTGCCTAGGTCCTGGTGCAAACAATTTTTATTTTTACTTAAAATAATAAGAATTCTGTAGCAGTTTTCCCATAAAGGTTGGCTGTTTCATGATGGCTGTCTTGTGTTGCTTTCTTCTTGCTTCCATCATAAGATTTACCTGAGTAAACTAAATTCCATTTTGAGGAAGTAAAGTTAAATTCTTTCTATTAATAAAGTAGAGTTGGAAGTAGTATGAAAAACTTTCTAATTAGTATACTCACCACACTGCTTCTTTAAAAGAAGAATAAAATAACAATTTCTCATTGGCCTGAGGCATTTTACCTGTAAAATGGGGCCTGACTTCTAGAGTTTGTTGCATATACTTACCATATTACCTGGTGCACAATAAATGCTCACAGCGTGTTACTGTTGCTTACTGACAATGGAGTTTAAAGATTTGGGGGTTTTGTTTTAAATTATGAGTTTAAAGGTTTGGGGATTTTATTCTCAATTTGGGGTTTCTTTCATCTTTTATAGATCAAACTTTTTTTAATAAGTATACAATCACATGCAGTTAAGAAATAATATAAAGCTATCCCATGTGGCTTATACTTAGTTTTCTCAATGGTAACCTCTTACAGAAATCTAGAATAACATCACAACCAAACTATTGAAATTAATACAATTAAGATGCAGACTATTTCCATCACCCTGAGTATTTCTTGTGTTGACATTTTATAGCTAAACCCACTTCCTTTTCACCTCAACCTCTTCCTTAACCCCTGGCAACACAACTCTGTTCTCTATTTCTGTAATTTTGTCATTTCAAGAATGTTATATAAACAGAAACATATAGCATGTTAACCTTTGCGACTTTTTTTTTTTAACTCAACATAATTCTCTGAAGATTCATCCAGGTAGCTGTATCACTAGTTGCTGGTTTCTTTGTTTGTTTGTTTTTGTGTTTTGTGGGGTTTTTTTTTTTTTGGTAGTTGTAGATGGACAGCATACCTTTATTTTATTTATTTTTATGTGGTGCTGAGGATCAAGCCCAGTACCTTGCATGTGCTAGAAAAGCACTCTGCCATTGAGCTACATTCCCAAACCTCACTAATTGCTTTTTAATTGCTGAGTGTCATTCCATGGTATAATAGAACATGGTGCTTAACCATTCACCCACTAAAGGTCACCAGGGTTGTTTCCAGATTTTGGCTATTACCATAAAGCTGTTATATGCATTGTGTAAGTTTTATGTGAACATAGGTCTTATTTTCTGTAGTATAAATTCCCAGGGGTGTGTAACTGTTAACCCATATGGTAGCTGGGTGTTTAGTTTTGTTTGTTTTTTTTTTTTTAAGAAACTGCCAAACTTTTTTCCACAGTTGCTATGCCATTTTATATTCCCATTTATGAATAGGTTCTTAACACCCTCATTAGCATTTGGTATTGTCACTTAATTTTTTTTCAGGAGCAGGAGTACTTTCTGATAGATGTAGAGTGATATTGTGGTTTTCATTTGCATTTCTCTAATAACTAACAACACAAATATTCTTTTCATATGCTTATTTGCCATCTATATATCCACTTCAGTAAAATATTTCTTCATATTTTCCCATTTTCTTATGGAATTGCTTTTTACTGTTGAGTTTTTGATAGTTCTTTATATACTCTCTATATTACGTAGTTCATTTTTCAGTACATAGTTTGTAGATGTTTTCTCCCACTCTGTAGTTATTTTTTCATTCTCTTATCGGGGTTTGCAAAAGCAAATATGTTTAGTTTTAGTGAAGTGTAGTTTATTAATTTTTCCTTTTATGGGTCCTGCATTTGGTGTCAAGTCTAAGAAGTCTAGTTCTGTATCCTGAAGTTTACCACCTAGTTTTTTCCTAAAAATTTTATAATTTTATAATTAGCATCTAATGCCATGAACCATTTTAAGTTAGTTTTTGTGCAAATTGTGTTGAACCATTTTAACACCACCATCATCTCAATGTTGACATCTGTTGACAGTCTTTTTTTCATTCAGTTTGAATTCTTCTTGACTCTTGGTATAATGATTTTCATGTGAAATCTGAACATTTCTGTGTTATAATGTTCTGGATCTTATGTAAGCCTTCTGTTTTTGCTGGATTTATGCAGTATCACTCAGCTGGGAAAGAAGAGGATGCCAACTTATTATGGCCAGATGGAGATAGAAGCCCAGATCTCCCACTTGGCCTCCACTGACACCTGAGGAAGAGGGATGTTGTTACTGTTGGATAGCAATGGAAAGTTCTGGCCCTACCCATAATCTCTACTTGCCGGGTTTCTGTTCTCAAGACTAAAAGGCCCAGGGGTCACTCTAGTTAAACTGGGCTAACTGGGCTGTGCAAAATAACCACACAAGAGACACAAATACCTTTTTCTTAGGGGTTGCTGTGACGGCTCCTCTGACCTTAAGGGTCCGCAGAAAGAGAGAGCGAGAGCACACGCTGACCCCTTTTATTGAGGAGAAGCTATTCAAATGAGGCAAGGGGTCAGGTTTCAGGGGACTGAGTCTATCTTCATGATGTCCACTGTCAGCAGGTTGACGGACACCTGGGTAGGCCACACCCAAAGGCACAGTAAGAGGAGGGAACACACACAAGGCACTTCCATGGAAGATTCTATCCTAAACAAGGCAAGGGGTTATATTACAAAGGAACAGGTGAGCGTAGTTTCACCCATGGGACAGTAGCAAGACACACCCATGCACAGACACTGACCCTTGAACCCAAGAAGGGTGGGGAAATCTCTGCCACATTTCTGTGACTTAGTGCCTCAGCACCCCGCCCGGGGAGTGTGACTCAGTCACCTGTAAGGTTGGTCTCCCACATCCACTGACACCATTGTGAGAATGCCCCTGTTATTCCTGGGCAGGGGTGAATGTCCTCACTCTCCAGGAGTCTTCCTCTGGCACCACCCAATGGGGAGAGAAAAGTGGGATTGTTCCTGGGAGGCAGTGATGGAAGTCCAGACTCCCCACCTCCACTGACACTTCCCACTGGGGATGAAAGTACCTGCTCCCAGTTGGACTTTGTCTGCCACAGCTCTGGGAGAGATATTGGGGCTTCTTATTACTCATGAGAGTGAGAATCTAGGCCCCCACCTGGCCTTCAAGGTATAAATGTGGGTAAAGCCATCAATTTTTGTAGTGTTCTGCTGGAATAGAGTGGTTATTACTTAAACTATTATCTTGTCAGGGTCCCCCTTTTCTGGTCCTTTTGTTACAGAGCAGGCTTCTCTTAGGGTCCCCCCACCCCCACCCCGGCCACTGCCACCACTCAACTGTTGGTGTTTCAGGAAGGCCTGCTTCTGTAATCAAGTCTGGGGTGAACAAGGCCAATAGAATAGAGCACCGTGACCTTCCTTGGGTCCCAAGTTTTCTGGCTAGACTGTCTACTTTCTCCAGCTTTTGGATCTTCTTCTGTTTGTTTTATATATTATACTATCCAGGTTTTTAATTGTGTTTAGCAGGAACAGTAGCGAGAAGTATACCTACCACCCTTTTACCTCAGAAGAAGGGAAGTCTTCATTATAGTTTTGATGGTAATAATGTAACTGCTTCCTGGAAATAAAGCTCTTACATGAAATTGTCCTTGCACAGCAAAGAGAATTGTAGCACATGCTCCACAGGGTTAAGTCGTTCCTGTGGTCACAAGCTACAGTGCTCACCTCATCTCTACAGGGTATTCTTGATCTTTAGACCATCACAGCGCAGTAACCAGTGAGAAGCAACAGACTTGAAGAGGGCAGTGAGTCAGCCTTGCCGGTGATGTAGGGGGTGGAGCAGACAGAGTGACCATCCTGTGTACTCCATTTTAGGAAAATCACATAAAGAGAGTCGTTCCCACACAACTCTGGGGTGCTCTTTGCTGTGTGAAAAGCTTAACTCTTGAAGAAATGTGGGATGAAATTTTCTAGGAAACAATCCAAATTATTTGGCAACTTTGCCATCTATGATTCTGGTTTTATGCTTTAAGACATTTTTTTTTTTTTGGAGGACTCAGGCAGACCCAGTTTGATTTACTGTTTCACTGAGTGGGTTGAGTTACAAAGAATGTCTCTAAGCCTCTGTTTGTCTTTAAAACAGAGAAAATAATTTTCTTCATCCCAAAGTTAATGACAGGATTTCATCAAGTCTGTAAACATGTTTAAGCGGTATCTGGTCTCAGAATAAACTTTAAACATTAGTTACTGTGGAAACACTAGGAATCACACTAATGTTATCATTGATGCAGACTATAATCTGTTGTGATTATAACTAATTCTGTGGCGAGATATGTGCTCTGATCATTCACAAAGTCAGTTCACTCTGGGCACAGAAGATCTAAGTTCCTTATCATTTTCCTGCAAGGGAACAGGCTTTCTAAACTGGGAGTCTTTATGTGGCAGCTCCATATTGAGCACCTTTCAGTCTTTTGAGCATGTTTTACCCATGCTGGGTGGATACACTGTGGGCAAAAGCAGTTCCCAAAAGCATGTCATGATGAGTTTCTCCATGCTCTGTTAAGTACCATGCTTGTGACCCTGCCTCCCAGCAACCCCAGCATGAGGACAGGCTTCTGTTGTATCATAATTCCCAATAACAGTAGTCTTATTTTTACCATTTAAAAGGATTGTACTTTTTGTTCTTCTACCAACTGTTCTTTAAACTTTAAAATGTTCTCTCTGGCTAGAGAAAGAAAAAAAAAAGCACATTATAATCGGTTCCTTTCAAAACTCTAATTGTACATAGAAGCAGATTTTATAAAGTAGCATAACGGCCATTTGCCTCACACCCTCAACTAATTGGACTCCAGAGTTCCTTACAGTTTATAAATGCTTCTTTGCACATAATTCTGTTAAGTACCACTTCCAAGTGCGGGTGACTCAGCTCAGCATAGACCACATCTCAGACAGGTACTCTGTATGCTTATCTAAAGTTTTCATGCTTATGATTATAAAAGGAAAGGGGTACAAGAGAATTCTATTAAAATATCTGGAAAAAAGTATGCATATATTTAATGGAAGGTTTCTTGACACATTCAATACTCTTGAAGCTTTTTATAGAAATGCCCATTATGCGCCATGTGTACATAAAATTGGCACAAGCCACTGAAGACCACAGAGTTTTAAAGGCAATTTGTTAAGAAGTTCCCCACACTAAACTAAGTGAATTTTGACTGGTGTTATTTGTTTGTTTGTTTGTTTTTACTTTTTACATATTTTTTAAAACAAATTGTGAATTAAGGTTTTCATATAGACACACTCCTAAAATATCTTAAAAATAAAAAAAATTACATTGTAGTCAAAAGATATATCAGTAAAATATTAAACATTTAATCGTCTCACCAGGGTTGAATGTGCTTCAAGTTCCTAAATTGATTAAGTGAATAAATATAAATAGATGTTGGGGTTGATAATGTGCCATAAGTGTGCCAGGGATTATATTTCAGAATGGTAAGTTATTTGCAGTGGGCCTCAGCCAGATATAACAAATACATAGTTAATAACCTGAATTCAAAGAGGTGTTTATCTATGTACATTGATTATAAAGGCCTAATGAAAGTCTATTCACTCTTGAATTTTTTCCTCATTATTACTGATATTATTACAAATAATATGTAGTTTTTCAAGCTTTGGATTATTTCAATATTCACAGAATGTTGTGTTAAGTAAAAAAGAATATGGATGTAGTAGATATATTAAGGATAGTTTGTTGAGGATAGAGAGAAACGATGAAAAACTGGGTTTCTACCAATTAGATTTGCATTTTTAAATTGAGACATAATAAATTGAAAAGTATCAATATTAGTTATCAACAGACAGATTGTTGTACTTAGTTCTATTTAAATCCCCAAGCTCTCTATAAAATCACTATAAAATTTTCTCTATAAAATCAGATTAGTCTGGGAATTTGGAAGGAAAGCCATGGGGGGCTGACTTCTAGAGCCACAGATAGTTGGTTCACATCTTGGCTAGGCCAGCTTGCTGTGAAAGCTGGAGTAAACTTTTGAACCTGAACAAATACTTATTGTATCTTTAAAGTGAAGTTGTCCACCCAACAAGATTAATAAGGAATAAACTCAACAATGCAATCAAAGCATAGTAACTTCTACACCGTATAAATCATAGTGAAGTTTTTATTGAGTTAATAATTGTCATATAATAAGTTGCACATGTTTAAAATATACAGTTTGGTGTGTTTTGACATGTGTATACCCATGGTCCATCACGGTTGTCACGATAATGAATGGGACCATTGCTCACAAGTTTCCTTTTGCCCTCTCTATTTGTTCTGTCTCGATCCTCCATCCTGTTCCATCCCCCAGCAACTATTTGCCCGAGTTTTATATTAAATTATCTGGCACTATACATATGTTTCCATTCTCCAGAATTTTAATATAACTAGAATCATATGACATATAGTTATTGTTGGTTTCAGGGGGTTGTTTTTTCTTGACAGGAGGTAAAGGTGTTGTTTTAGCCTATTACATACAGTGACATTATTTGAGTTTTATCTCTGTTGCTTTGTGTGTCAGTAGTCATTACTTATTATTGATGAGTAGTATTCCATTGTATGAATAGACTACAGTGTGTTTGTTTATTTGCTTGTTGGTAGACATTTGGGTTATTCATAGGTTTAACTATTGTTTCATTTATTTATTTAGCACCTGTAATATATTCTCTTGATTACCATGTTTTATAATAAGTCTTAAAATCAGATAGTATAAACCCTACAACTTTGTTCTTTTTCAAAGCTGTTTTGATTATTCTAGATCCTTTGCGTTTCCATATATCTATTTAAATTAGCTTGTCAATTTCTATTCTCAGTAAAATCTGCTGAAATATTGATTGGAATTGCATTGAATAATACAATTGCTTATATTGTTCCCATGTCAATGTGGGAAGTATTAATATCTTAATAATACTGAATCCCTCTCAATCCATGAATATAAGATCTCTCTCCTTTTTATTTAGGTGTTCTTTAATTTCTTGCATCAGGGTTTTATATCCTTCGATATGCAAAGCTTATACCTCTTGTGTTATATAGACCACTAATTAATTTCATATTTTTAAAGGTATTATAAAGGGTGTTATTTTAAATTTTAATTTTATATTCCTCATTTCTAGTATATAGAAGTGAAGTTGATATTTTCACACTTATATCCTGGAACATTAAAAACTTCTTTTTTCTTCTTTTTCTTTTTTTTGGGGGGGCTATTGATTGAACCTGTGATCTCAGGTATGCTAGGCAAGTGTTCTACCACTCAGCTACCTCATCAACCTCAACAAATTCTAGCAGCTCTTTGTAGATTCCATAGCATTTTCTATGTATACAAGTATATTGTCTGTAAATTGAGACAGGTTTTTAAAAAATTTCTTTAAAACCTGTATTCTTTGATTTCTTTTTCTTGATTTATTATACTACCTAGAACCTGAATAGAAACCATGAATAAGCTTTGGTAGGTTTGAAAAGTATTTTTTCTTCATTTTTGAAATGGATAATAAATCTTGGTTGATAGCTGTTATTCTCTCATTGATTACTCTAAAAATGTTGCTGTACTGTATTTTAGCTTGTATTGTTCCCAAGAGAAATCTTCTCTCATCCTTATCTTTGTTTCTCTGTATAAAATTTATCTTTTTTCTCTGACCAGTGTTAAAATTTTCTCCTTATCACTGACTATAAGCAATTAAATTATGATATACTTCAGTGTAATTTCCTTGATATTTCTTTTGCTTGAAGTTAGTAGAAATTTTTTTAATACATAGTTTCTGGTTTTTCAAGAATATAAAGGATTTTTTCCCCTTACATCATTAATTGTTTTTTTCTGCCCTATTCCTCTTTGGGGCCACAAATTACATAGATGGATAAATAGATAGATAGATAGATAGATAGATAGATAGATAGATAGATAGATAGATAGATAGATAGATAGATTCTGCTACTTGAAGTTGTTTCTATAATTCACTGGGATTTTTTTTTCTTTTTATTTGTTTTGCTTCTCCAGTTGCTTTTTGTTTTTTTTTTTTTCTGTATATGCTTTACTTTGGAGAATTTCTGTGACCTTATGTGTAAGTTTAATGATCTTTTCTTTTGCACTGTCCATTCAATGAAGTTTCATCTCACAATTTGCAGACAATTAGTTCTATTTCGAGTCCTATATGAACTCTTGGTATTGTTCACTCAGTTCTTTCCTAAGTGTTATTTTTCTAGCCTTGGGTTGTTTCTTCATTCACAAGCACTAAATTATCAAAAGTTGTTTCTTCAACTTTTTCATCTCATGTGAAATATCAAAGGTTCCTTGGTTTATTAACAAGATAATATGTTGAGTTTGTAGGATATTTCTATTGGGCCATACTAATTAGTTTCTTAAATATTTACCCTAACTAATGTACAAGTGAAACCATTTTTTCATATCTATATATTGCAAATGGCTGTCCACATGCAAAGAACCAACTTGAGTTCTGGGTTACCTTCCCATGGCCATGAAGTTGTATCCTCAGGCTTCCGATGGCAGCTGGTAAAGATTCATTTGACTGTGCTAGCTCAGCTGACTCTGTTGGAAAATCCTACTTCTCAGGGCGTTTAATCTCCAATTTTACATGTGAGCCTTTAGTCCTTTTCCATGTAAATTCAAAAAGATACAAATTCCAACTAAACAATACTTCTGTAAATATTCAGTTAGCTGCCACAGATTGCTTTTCCTGCTGTGTTCATATTGTTTTAAATGGTATTACTCTATTTAAAAATAGATGAATGATTTGCTAAGCAAAAATGTTTGTACTGAAAACAAAAGAATGTTAAATTAGAAATGCATTTAAAAATGCAAGTGATAGCAACTTTATATAGGTTTTCTAATCTAAGGATTCTCTGCATACATTTTTATTTTTAATTTTTGAGAATTGGACTTTGTAGGAATAAATCACATGGAACCCAAGCATAAAGAATGGCTATTAGAACTGTTTTCAAAAGGGAGATTGAAATCATCATTATGCAATGCATTTCTTTCTCTGCACCCTGTCAGTCAGTAAGCCAACTCTGATGAGTTGGAGGAGGTCATGTGAATTCAAAAATAGAGCATGAAGTTAGTTAAAGAGCTTTGGAGTAAAACAATCTGCGGATAACTCCAACTTGGCCACTTTCTAGCTTTGTGATTTGGAGCAAGTCTTTTAGTCCATTTGAATCTGCAGTTTGCCTTCTTTAAATAATATTATACCCCAGTTGATGTAAGTCTCAAATAATATAATGAATGGAGGTATTTTAAGTGCTCAGTAAATCATCATGGGCCTTATAACTTTCCCTCAAGTGCATGGAATTAGTCCTGAAGTGAAAAACTTCTGCCCAAGTTAAAAAAAAAACACACACACAAAAACAATCATAGTATGAAGTAAATGGTAATTACCTCAGGGAGAGATTTTGGCTGTGATATTACAGGCAATGTACAAATTTACATTAAGAAGAGTTCATATAGTGAATATGGATCATAATGAATTTTTAAAAAATATTCTCCTTGAGGGAAGTTCAGAGTAAATCACTGGTGTTCTTTTATGTCCTTCCTTAAAAATACCTTTTTTTTTTTTAATAGGGGGAATTTGTTGCCTGTCTCCTGTCCCTATTACGACAAATGACTGACAGACATTATCAACAACTTCTTGATAGTTTCAATACAAAAGAAGAATTAAGGGTAAGTGATTTTAAATTTTTTCTTTTATGTATATTTTTAGTTTTTCATGGTCTTATCACTCTTCAGATAGCTTCTTGACAATTGCTTTACCTCTTTCCATTAAATTCTAAACTGTTTTTTTTTTCTTGGCCTTGTTCACAAATCCACTTGGCTACATTGGCACTGTAAGATTTGTATTACTCAAGCAAAGTAATGAACCCTGATTTTTGGAGGACATAGTATTTGAAACACCTTTCTTCCAAGTTCAGTAAACTAGAAATAAAATAACAGATCTAAGAAGACAAAGCAAATAGACTAATTCTAGTTAAGTGTACCTAAAATATCACCTTTGTAGAAAATAGGGAATATCATCTAATCCTCCCATGCTTCCCCTTCCAATCCCACTATGAATCAGCCCCCTTATATCAGAGAAAACATTCAGCATTTGTTTTTTGGGGATTCGCTAAATTCACTTAGCATTATATTCTCCAACTCTATCCATTTACCTGTAAATGCCATGATTTTATTCTCTTTTATAACTGAGTAATATTCCATTGTGTATGTATACCACATTTCTTTATCCAACTCTAGAAAGGGCAAAGAGATAGGAAGGGAAGGGAGGGGACGTGGGGGTAAAAACGTTTGTGAAATGAGATGGACATCATTATCCTCAGTACATATATGAAGCCACAAATGGTGTAAATATGCTTTGTATACAACTAGAGATGAAAAATTGTGCTCTATATGTGTAATATAAATTATGATGCATTCTGCTGTCATATATAACAAATTAGAATAAAATATATATAAATGAATAAATAAATAGAAAATAAAGGAGATTATATAAACACAGCAACTGATTTCATCCCTATAGAACCATATTGAGAAGTTTTAGTTGCAACTTTCTGACTAGAGAAGGAGAGTTCTATTTGATATACTTTATCAGCTTTAATCTAATCAAAATGCTATGCTAGTCTGACAGGCTGACATTAAATAGAAAGTAGCAATGCCAAGTTATAAAAATCTAATGTATGCCAAAAAACATCTAGTATTGGAGGAACAATAATGCTTCCTTTATGATATCACTAAAATCTTAGAAGTTGATTGTAGTCAGAGGAATGACCTGTCATCTGCCCTTATTTGCTTTTATTTCTCTTTCATCTCTTTAGTTTTCCAGATACCTGCATATGTAAGTTTTCATACTTACATATGAAAGAATTGCTTAAATGCTGGTTGATGGAGAATTATAGATCAATGCAATTACTCTATAATGTTTGATTGATGGGAGGTCTATCACAGTGCCTTAGAGAAATATTGGTAGTTATTTGGATAGTGTAAAGGGGTCACTTACTGACTTTTTTATTAGTGAATTATATTTATACATAAGAGTGGAATTCATCATGCCATATTTGTACACACACATAACATACTTTAATCCATATCATTCCCTAGTACTTTCCCTTTCTACTTATTAACTTTTAAGTGCCTAGAAGATACTGCGTGATGTCAGAAGACTCTTTCTCTTACCTTGGAGCAATTGATAGTTCATAAGCCAAGTCATGCAAAACAATTGTTTTTTGCAGATACAGTCTACACAGCATCACCTGATTGTCATATGCCATGGTGTTTTTCATTTTTTCACTCAGTCTTGAGTTTAGAATTAAAAATAGATAAAAGGTCATCAGAACTTACACCACCGTGGGTACATCAAAAGGAAGGTAATCATGAAGTTAACTTTCATCAGAGACTATTTAATACAGTTGAAGAATAATTAGATTTAACGTAAGATGTCTGTGACTTCATATTTCAAAATTTCTCATAAAAAGACTACATATTTTTAAAGAGCCTGGGAATTAAAAATAGCCAAGAAGCATGGATTGAAAGATATGATTAATTTAATCAAGGTATTGAGTTTTATGCTCTAGTGTTCTCACTGATAATAAAGCAAATGGAAATAATCAGTGAAGTGTTATATGTGGGCCTTATTTCAGTCGGCCAGCATACTTTTTCAAAAGACATGTATTTCCCTCTTCAAAATTAGCTGGTCTTCAGACAACAGAGTTATTTAATGATACTAAATACTTAGTCTGTCATTCAGGAAATACAGGCTGAGAATCCTAGGCATGGAAAGCACTGAGCAGGCACTGGGGTTGTAATCCAGCACAAGATATCTTCCAGTTGAGGGAATCAGATAATAGTGGACATGGATACCCTACAGGTGATGGATAAGGCAAGGACATGGTGTTCTGGAGCATCTGGGAGTTGCTGCCAATAGACTCGAGGCAGCAGGAAAATTTCCCAAGGAATGTCTCAATTGAGAACCTAGAGATTAGTAGGCGTGTGCTATCAATTATCACCTTGGGCTGAAGATGTAGTTCAGTGGTAGAGTGTTTGCCTAGCATACACAAGGCCCTGAGTAGGATCTCCAACACTGCAAAATAAATAAATAAATAAAATGTCACCTCAGTGCTCTGACACTTCTTATAATCTTGAATATTTTTGTTTATGATTTTATGTATTTTTCCAACCCACCCAGCTACTAGGTTATAAGAAGCTTATATCTGAAGCTTTGTCTGATTCATTCCTCAACACATATAAATATTGAAGAAATATTTGTTGAAGCCTAACACATATAAATATTGAAGAAATATTTGTTGAAGCCTAACACATATAAATATTGAAGAAATATTTGTTGAAGCCAGGTATGGTGACCTATGCCTGTAATCCCAGCTACTCAGGAGGCTGATGCAAGAGAATCTCAAATTTTAGGTCAACCTGGCCACCTTAGTGAGAACCTGTGTCAAAATCATAAAGTTTAAAAAGGACCAGGGATGTATCTCAGTTTTAAAGCACTTGCCTAGCACACATGTGGCCTTTCCTTCAATCCTTAGAGGAAGTGAGGGAGACAGTGAGCAAGGGAAGGAGGGAAATTGGCTTATTGATTGTTCAATAGAATATAGAGTTTGAGAAAGAGAATTGTTAAGACATAAGTCTTTGTTAATGGATGTCGACTTTATTTTGAGGATATTTGGTAGCTGTTGAGGGTTTTAATAAGGGAAAGACATGACCACATTTGTCTAGTAGAAGTATCTGTCTGGAAGTGGATTAACTAAGATGAAAATAGGAGGCAGAACCCTATAAAGATGTAGTAATCTAAGCTAGTAATTTGGTGTAGTAATTTCAGCTAGAAGAGACTGTGGCCTGAAATAAAGAACCTCATGGTAGTAAATTCTGGAGACATTCAGGAAGTTGAATTGGCAGGACTTGATAACTAACTATATTTTAAAAGGTGAAAGAAATGAAGGAGCTGAAGATAACTCCAAGACTCTTTAACAATAGTCTAAATGTTGGTCCATTCATTGATTGGGGGACATAGAAGGAGTAGATGTTGAGGTGTGGGAGCAAAGGTAAATTCTGAGTTGTCTGAGTTTGGTCACCTGAGGGACATCCAGCTGGAGGTGTTTAGTAGACAGTGTCTGAAGTTCAGGAGAGAAGTGGGATGCAGAGGCAGATTGGGCAACTGTCAGCCTGTGAATAGTAATTGACATCATGAGACATCCAAGGAAACTAGACTCAGAAGGACTTACGTGGAATCCTAAGCATTAAAGATAAGGGAGTGGTGACTAGTACCTGTTCCTTCAAAGAGGTTAAGTAACATCATTAATATTATTGGGAAAGCTGATGAGCAATTTCAGTGGTGAAGCCATGCTACCATGCAATTGAGGAATAAAAAAAAAAAAAGAAAAAGATATAAAGGAACAGAAGTGTGTAATATTCCAAGAAGAATATGTTAAAGGGACTCTTTATGTATAACTTTGGGTGTTAGAGCAGTATGGATAGTGGAGGAGACTTAAACATGATTAAATATCAATGATTAGAGCCATTGGAGAGGGAGAAGCTAAACGTAAAGGAGAGAGGGCTGCCACACCTCTCACAAAGGGGAGGTCCTTGACAAGGCAGCAGGAGGGGAAAGAATTAGTCCTTTACCTGTATGGGACTAGAAAGGAGATAACTGGAGTAAATGCCAGCTCGAGGTCATTTATTTACTTTGCTAAAGGCTAATGAGTCATCAGATTTTAATCCACATATTAAAAGACACCACCTTTTAATAAGTTTTTTTCTGTTCTCAGTTTTCTGCAAAGCTGAATAGCCTTAGCTATTATATTTCTCAAAGCTATATTACATTGTTTTAAAGATAATAACATTAATCCATAATTCCCTACCTAAAGTTTAGTACCAAATGCATTTTGGAAACCAGAATTTTTGCAACTTCAGAAAGATAAGATAATGCATTTATTGTATTTTATAGTATAACACCTCCATCAGGATCTTCAATAACAAAATGTTCACTCAAGAGGAAGAATAAATAAAGATTACAAATAGTTCAAGTCAGATTATATAGCTGAATGGTTTAGAAAACCAAGAAAAATTTTTAAATATTTTTTAGATGCCAATGGTTTTTTTACTTTGTTTGTTTATATGTGGTACTGAGTATCAAACCCAGGGACTCACACATGCCAACAAGCACTCTACTACTGAACCATAACCCCAGTCTCCTGAAAACCAAAAAATTTTATACTCTTTTTAAAATTTTTATGTTGCAGTAGAGGAACTAAGGAATAGTAACATTTTGCATAGAATTTAATGTATACCAGGCACTGTTCTAAGCAGTTGATTAATATTTACTCATTTACTTCTCAAAGGAACCCCATGAGGGAGTCCCTAACTTTGTTGATATTGCTCTTTTTGTAGTACTGGGTACTGAACCCAGGAACACTATACCACTGAGTTACATCCTAAGACCTTTTTATTTATTTTGAAACAAGATCTCACTAATTTGCCCAGGCTGACCTTGAACTTCAATCTGCCTGCCTCAGCCTCCCGAATAGTTGGGATTGCAGGTGTGCATCACTGCGCCCCTGGCCAGTCCCCCTTACTGTATTACAGATGCCAATTACTTGATTCAGCAAACACTTCTTGAGTATTGTTGGTTACATATAAGTAATATTAAGGCTAATTAA